CTAGGATACTCCAAACTCCACAGTTTGTGATATATTACACTGTTGCTGAAATGCTGAAACAGCATGTGATCTGTTTAATATTGAATCAGTGGAACCTCCTACTAATCTGCTCTCTCTTTTGTTCTATGGGGACTTTATCAGAGACAAACTTGGGCTACTGAGTGGCATTCATCTGTAACAACACATTTTCATTTACTAGTTTCCTCCCTGCCAACAATGACCCTTTTGTTTGATGTTCATTCATTCTTTGGTGTTCTCTCTCTGGGTATGTTTACACAGCCCACAAAAGCAGAACTAAATCATAGAACTAAAAATTAATGGTAGCTTAGGTACAAGTGATCATGAATTAATCGCATTTATAATGGGAAAGCAGAATTAAGTCCAGACCAGTAATATATATACTTAGTGCTTTTTTAGGGCCAATTTCACAAAGCACTTACGAGCCAAACCAGCTGGAAGGAAGAATTTAATAAGAAAAATTTGAATGATAATTGGGAATCATTTAAGAACACCTTACTATAGATGCCTAAAAAGCCACAATTGAGGAAGAAGCCAGTGCTGGTTAAAAATGAACCTGGTTTAGAGGGGAAGTGAAAGCAGCTATAAGGGGAACTTGATAGCAATGAATATAAGTCAGAAGTTAGGAACTGTAGAAAACTGATAAGGGAAACAAAGGGACACAAGGAGAAATCTGTAGCCACCAGAGAGAAGGTCAATAAGAAGGAGTTTTTTAACTATATTAGCAACAAAAAGAATCCCAACAATGGTATTGGTCTATTACTAGATAAAACTGGTGGAATTATCACTAATAATGAAGAAAAGGCAGATGTCTTCAGTAAATATATCTGTTCTGTATTTGGGGCAAAAAACAGATGCAATAGTCACATCGTTAGATAATAACAATCCATTCCACTAGTATCTCTGGAGGATGTTAAACAGAAACTACTAAAGTTGGACATTTTTAAATCGCCAGCTCCAGATAACCAGCATCCAAAAGTTTTAAAAGAGCTGGCTGAGAAGTTCGCTGGACCATTAATATTGATTTTCAGTAAGTCTTGGAGTATGGGGAAGTTCCAGAAGACTAGAAGGATAAACAGAGTAACAGGATAATCATATGCCTGTAAGCCACATTGATCTCAGGCAAGATAACAGAACAGCTGATATGGGACTTGATTAATAAAGAATTAAGGGAGGATAATGTAATTAATGCAAATCAACTTTTTTCTTTTTTTGATGAGGTTATAAGTTTGGTTGATAAAGACAATAGTGTCGATATATTATACTTAGACTTCTTTAAGGCATGTGACTTTGTACCGCACAGCATTTTGATTAAAAAACTAGAATATAAAATTAACATGACACACATTAAATAGATTATAAATGGGCGGACAGGTCTCAAAATGTAACTGTAAATGGGGAATCGTCATCAAGTAAACGTGTTTCCAGCAGGGTTCTGCAGGGATGGTTTCTTGGCCCTAGGCTATTTAATATTTTTATCAATGACCTGGAAGAAAACATAAACTCATCACTGATAAAGTTTGCAGATGACACAAAAATTGGGGGAGTGATAAATAATGACGAGGACAGGTCACCTCCTGAGGTCCCTTTTAACCCTGATATTCTATGATTTAACTCACTACCCCCAACACTGTCATCATGATATTTATCCAAAGATATTGTGTAAGGCAGCATATGAAAGCTAATAACATGCTGGTTATTACTATCACTGCATGAATAAAATGCATGAATTAATGTTATATGTGAAGTTATGAATTCTCTCTAACATGATTAAGACCAGACAGCCTACCCTAGGGAAAGGTAATAAACAGGTCTGTCCTAGACAAATGAATGTGGGTTTACCTCAATTTAGATATTAGCAATAAACAAAGCTATCAAGTTAAACCAATGGGGGTTATCCTGATCGTGAACTCAAGAGACAGAGAATTAAGATGGCTCCTGCATCCCACAGAAAGACAGGAGACTGAATCGCCAAGAGGCCTTCCTGACTTGTAAGACAAACACAATCCCCTTGGGGCTATAGGGAACACAGAAATATTTCATATCCTTCACCTTAGGAGACAAAGGAACCAAACAATTTTATCACTGTACTGGATCCTGCCAGAAAAAGCTGGAAAGACAACTGTGGGGGAGAGAGACTATCTTGAACAAAGACTGTATCTTGCTAGATTAAGTTTTAGTCTTTTAGAGGCCTGTTTTCACTTTTATTTGCTTGTAACCATTTCTACCTTTATCCCTTTTACTTGGTATGACTTAACCATAACTTTTGTTTAATAAACTTGTTTTACCTTTACTATAAACCCATTCAGTGCTGTGGTTGAAGAAAGGATGTGTTTACCCCAGTTAAATTAAGATGTAATGTACTGACTATTTAACAGAGCAGCAAACTTAATATCCTCGGTGAATGTACAGTGATAGCTGCTGTGCACTGCAGAGAAACTTCACTTTGAGGAGCTGGGTGGCTGGAGTTCATTGATCATTACTTGCGAGGCAAGGTTTGGACTGGGAGAGCCTTGAGGAGTTTGCTGGTCAGGAAGACAGATTGGTGGGGCAGGGAGCTGACATAATCTAACCTCCAGCAAAGCTCACTTTTGTTGAGGCAGAGAGGTAACGCAGTGACTCACAGCTCTGGGTGTCCCCAGCAGTGTGTTACACCAAGGTCTGAGATTTGCTGCTGTGGGCTCCTCCTTGCTGGGTAGACGTACCCTCTGTGACTGATTCGAATGGGTCATGGAGCAGGGAACTTTTCTGTTTCAAGATTGAAGACAGAGCCCACTGCCCTGTAACAGGAGGCTGAAACTAAGGGAAACCTTCTATTCCACTGGCTCCACTGTAAGAAATCTTCTGCACGCCAGCAGAGCACACTGTGACATGGGGTTCTTGAGTTCAAATTCTGTGTTGAACTCTTGGTCTCTGGGAATGCCACCATTCCCATATCCCATTTCCCTGTGCCCCTAACCTGGGACCAAAGTCCAACTGGCAACCTACAGGTAAAAGGTTCCATATCCATTCTCGGCCCCTCAGTCACCTAGTTGTCCTGGCCTCAAGGAGTGGAACAAATGACCAGCAGGTGAAAAGTTCTGAATCCCATTCCCAAGCTATCTAGTCTTTTCAATCATAGCAGACATGAGGATGGGGAGCATGATTTTTGTTCTTTTGAAAACCAACCATGGGATGGGTTCGTGACCACAGCAAGGGCTCAATTCTGCAGAGGCCTGGGTGTTCTGGCCTCAATCCAACAATGCACTAAAGCACGTGATTAACTTTAGACACACAAGTAGTTCCTTTGATTTCAATGGGACTGTAGCCACGGGCTTGACGTCAGACATGTGCTTGTTGGATCAGGGCCAGAAGGCTCAGTAGGATTGAGGCCCAAATGAGCAAGGACTGGGCAGGTTTACCGATGCCCTGGTTCCTCTTATGCAGGTACTCCATCAAGACCTCCAGGCAGGCAACAACAGTCTGAGACAGCAATAGGTCTTTCTGAAAACACAGAGAAAAGAATGAGAGCGATGTTGTTGACAGAGGAAAATTCAAGAGACAGGAGGTGCAAAAGGTGTAGCTTAGGCAAATTACACTTTTCATTGTCCTCAGGGCATGCAATATACAATGCACTTACAAAGCCAGCTCTGCACTCAGTTCACCATAAAGTCATATGAGGCCAGAACTTGGTTCAGAAATTATAAGGCTGAGGAACAGTGTCCCAAGGGAAATGGTGAAAGCATGCTGGACTGGGCAAAGTCCTGGAGGATATACCGTATATAACAGCCCTGCACTGGCTGTGGTGGGAGAATATGGTCTAATGCTTCCTTACAGATCAAATTTCTATCATTCTGTAAGGGGTGAAGAAGGGGAGAAATTCCCTTGGGCCATGTTATTTGAGGCTTTTTTCCTCAGACTAATCTGTGTTTATTTATGTCTGTAAATGTACCTGGACCAGAAGGTTCTGCAGACTGACAACAAGCGAGAGCACCTGCCACGTGGCCAGTGGATACAGGGTGGCATCGTCCTCTGACAATGATGGCTCCATCCTGCTTTGGGCTGTAGGCTGGACTACGAGCACCAGCAGGGAGGAAGAGAAGTTCTGTCTGAGGATGGCTCGCAGGAACTGAAGGATACTGACTGCACACACAACTGCTTGTTATTACAACACAGCATTTCCCTCCCCCACCCCAACCCCATGAAACCAAAACCATTCAGCACCAAGGAACCCAACCCTGCACATGAATGCCCAGGGCAAAGCCTGACAGAGGAGAGAAGGAAAAGTTGAGTGGATTTATTTTCAGGACCTATTAAAGGGAGATTGCATTGGCTAGTGTCTGCAGGCATGAATGCCACTAAACTAAGTCCCCACACACCCGGCCCTGCAGCACCACCTCACTTGTTATTCCAACTCTTGCTCAGTTTCAAGCCCTGTTACCTAACTCTATGGTAGTTTCAAGAAATGAAAAAATATCCACCAGGGATGAACACCACCAAACTCATTTTACCTTTGCCCCAAGTACCCCAAATCTGTAGTGGACAAACATGGGCGGCATGTCAACCATCGGCTGGGGGAGGCTAGCCCCCAGCCCTGCCCCTTCCACCTGAGGTCCCGCCCCTTCTGCACCCCCTCCCCCACGAGAGCCGCCAGCCCCTGCCCCAAGCTAGTGCCCTCAGGGCCAGAGTGCCAGGAGGGTGGGCGGCGCGGCTCTAGTTCCCCCAACCCCAGAGCGCCGGGAGGGCAGGCAGCACGGCTACTGAACAGGGGGAGCCGCAGAGCAGGAAGCAGGAGGAGGGGACCTGTGTGTGTAGCACTGGCGGGGCCACGCCTGGCTGTTTGGGGAGGCACAGCCTCCCCCAGCCTATGATACCCGCCACCCATGTGGACAAAGATAAATGCACCAAAGGTGCCAAACTCCCACCTGCATGTTCACCTCCAGTACATCAGTCACTCTTATTTGTGTTCTTTTTGCCTTCGAATAGTCTTAACTTCTCTCCCAACATTCTCCCTATCTACTTTAAACAGTCTTGGAACTAGGCAAGTGCCAGTTATTGTTCCCAGGCAGCAGGAGCATGACCCTAGACAGCCTCTGCATACCTAAGAGCAGTGCAGGCTTCTTCCTTCTGAAGATAACGGCATTCAGGACCTTTTCTACATCCAGAGAGATCGTCTGGTGAACCTAGGAGAATAAAACACCGGGTGAAAGAAGAATGAATAAAAGCCTGTCTCTGGTGTTGAATCAACAGGTTATCAGGTGGAAGACTGTCCCCTTAAATGCTCTTAATTCTCATAGATTTCAAGGCCAGAAGGGACCATTTTGTTCATCTAGCCTGACCTCCTGTATAACACAGGCCATAGAACTTCCCCAAAATAATTCCTAAAGCAGATCTTTTAGAAAAACAGCCAGTCTTGATTTAAAAATCACCAGTGATGGAGAATCCACCACAGCCCTTTGTAAGTGGTTCCAATGGTTAATTACACTCACTGTTAAAAATGTATGCCTCGTTTCCAGTCTCAATTTGTCTAGCTTCAACTTCCAGCCACTGGATCATATAAGACCATTCCCCTGATAGACTGAAGAGTCTATTATCAAAATATTTGTTCCCCCCGAAGGTACCTATAGATTGTAATCAATTATTTCTTTAGACAGTGTCCATAACTGACCATTTGGAAATATGTTACTAGTTAAAGATGACACGATTTCAGGGGTCAGATTGGAGAAGGAATGACTGGGGCCCAAGCTCCACTTCTTATCCTGCACTCTGCCTGGTTTCCCCAAACAGCTAGTTCAGGGGTGGGCAAACTTTTAGGTCCGAGGGCCACATCTGGGTGGGGAAATTGCATGCAGGGCCATGAATGTAGGGCTGGGGCAGGGAATTGGGGTGCAGGAGGGAGTGCGGGGTGTGGGAGGGGGTGTGGTGTGCAGGAAGGGGCTCAGGACAAGGGGTTGGGGTGCAGGAGGGTGCGGGGTGAGAGAGGGGGCTCAGGGCAGGGGGTTGAGGTGCAGGAGGGGTGCGGCAGGGGGCTGGGGTGCAGGAGGAGTGCGAGGTGCAGGAAGGTGATGCAGGGAGTTGGGGTGGGGGGTGCAGGCTCTGGCCTGGCGCTGCTTAACTGGAGCAGCTCCAGAGTAGCAGTGGCGCAAAGACAGGCTCCCTGCCTGCCTGCTGTGGCCCCGCGCCACTCCCAGAAGCAGCCAGCACCACGTCCCTGCAGCCCCTGGAAGGGTGGGAGACAGAGGGCTTCGCGTGCTGCCCTCGCCTGTGGATACTTCCCCCGAAGCTCCCATTGGCCATGGTTCCTCATTCCTGGCCAATGGGAGCTGCAGGGGGCAGTGCCTGCAGGCGAGGGCAGCTCACGGAGCCCTCTGCTCCCCCCCCCCCGGGGGCTGCAGGGACGTGGTGCTGGCCGCTTCCAGCAGTGGTGCAGGCTCCGCGGCACCACGGGGGTGGCAATCCTGTGGGACGGATCCAAAGCCCTGAATGGCCGGATCTGGCCCACGGGCCATAGTTTGCCCACCCCTGAGCTAGTTGTTTCTACTAAAATGATCAGCAGTAAAAGAGATAATGACCAAACCTGATGCTGGCAGATAAACCGAACTCATTAACACCCCACGGAGGGCAGTTCACACTTTTCTAAGATGTTCTTTCCATCTAAATATTTGCAGACTCGGGGAGACAGCATGGCATCAGCTCTCATTCACAACCATAAAGGCAAAAAACTCTGGGCCAGATGTGGCTGCTTTGCGTCACTCCAGAAGTACTGCATGAGCAGCAATGGAACAGTGGAAAGCAGCCAGAGAACAACAGTGGCTCTATCCCTCCCCCCATTTTTAAGGAAAGCTTAAATTCTTCAGAAACTGATGGGACTTCCAGAGAAATACCACTGAAGTGTCTCACTGCTCAGCCTGATCCCTGAGGCATTCCTAAGTCCACCACCTAATTACCTCTGACTGGTACTAGAGAGCTCTCTGTGGCAGTACCCGTGTAGGCTGTCATGCCAGTCAAGTACTGTTGAATTTAAGAGATAGGCTTACAAGACAGTAAATGCTCACATCCCAGTGATCAATATGGGCTGGGAAAACCAAACCTGGGTCTCCCGAAAGACACAGCACAACATTAGTAGTCACCAGGATAACACAGTCCCTAGAGCCTTCACAACATCACAGCCTTGAAGAGTGTGTTTCAGAGGAGAAAGTGTAAGTGAGATGACAAACTGTGACTGATTTGTCTCAAGGCCTCTATTCCTCACCCAGTATCTCATGATGTTAGGTTTGTAAGCCCTGAGAAACTGAGCCTTTTGCAGGTTACAGATATATCCCATGGACAGGTTAGAAACACATCAGTCTTTCTATGGAAAAGTCCAGTGCTGCAAGGAATTACAAGGGGCTTCACACCCATTAAGGGGGCCCAAAAACTGTGCATCCTTTCCTGGCCATACAGACTTAGGCCCCAATCCTGCACAAGCTTACACACTTGGGTAACTTCACTGACTATGAGTAGCCCCGCTAACTTCAATAGGACTACTCATGAGTCAATTTCAGCATTTGTGTGAGTGTTTGCAGGATCAGAGCCTAAGTTCATGCCACTGAGGCTTTAACTCCATTTTATCACAAGGAATGGTATGAGGCACTGGCATATATATTTAGAGGGGAAGGTCACCCCCTTGCATTGGTGTTAGAGAATATTCCATTCACAGTTACCTGTAAGTCCAACAGAGAGCACTAACAAAATGGTTTATAATTTACAGAATGGTTGTTAGCCTCCTGAAAAGCACCTTTAAAATGTATCACTCTCTCACAGAGAATTTAGCTTTTTTGGGGGAAAGGGGAGTTTGGAGATTTTTCCCCAGGATCACCACCCTTCTCTTGAGCCCTCAAATGGTTTACATCTAAGGGCTTGTCTACATTACCCCACTGGATTGACGGGCAGAGATCGATCCAGCGGGTGGGGTCAATTTTTCGCGTTTAGTCTAGACGCGATAAATCGACCACTGAGCACTCTCCCATTGACTCCGGTACTCCACCAGGGTGAGAGGCGCAGGCGGAGTCAACGGGAGAGCGTCAGCCATCGACTTGCCGCAGTGAAGACACCGCAGTAAGTAGATCTAAGTACGTCGACTTCAGCTATGTTATTCACGTAGCTGAAGTTGCCCAATTTAGATCGATCCCCACCCCTTAGTGTAGACCAGGCCTTAGCTAACCACCTGATAGGATTCCTAGCCCTCTGCCAGGCTGGGAGACCAGAGCTAGGAATCCTCTGCACAGAACAGTGCAGTAACTGCAAAGGCCAGCAGAGTCCAGGCCAATGTGAATCATTTCTGCCTGTGAACAGGGATTTTATTTTAGCATGATGACGGTTCCCGCACAGCTTGGGTTCTGGCTTGACAGCAGTTCTAACCTCAGAGTTGTAACGATGCTGATGAGCTAAGAGGGAAGCAGTCAGCAGCCAAGCAGAGCAGAGAAGTGCCTCTTCGGATGAAGATAAAGCAGGTCCAGAGCGACAGGGCCACATCCAGGTGAGCTCCAAAACCTTCTGGAGCAACTCCAACAAAGGCACACTAGAGAGCAGTACAGCCACCACTATGCAGGAGAAAAGGGTACAACAGGCTTCAAGAGTCTGCTGGGATGGCATAGAAGGAATCAGCATGTATGTGACACAAGTGATTTAAGCAAGCCACTACAATCAAGAGGCAACCAAAAAAACCCACAGGGCACAGCACCTCAGACCAGTGGTCAGTCTAGTCTGGCATTCCACCTTCTGCCACACAGATGTGATCTCTGATACAGCTAATAGAATAAACAGCATTAAAATAATCTAGTACGGTGGCCATCTTGATCTTCCTCTCTCTGCTATTATTATTTAATTTAGGGTAGAGCCTGGAAGCCCCATTCAGGCATCAGGGCCCTATTGTGCTAGCTAGCTGTTGTACGAACAAGTAAAACAAAGCTAGTCCCCTGCTCCACAGTGGCCAATACCTGAACCCTGAGGCAAAAAACAAAAACCACACCCCAACCCCATAATGCACCTGGCCAACTGCATAATGCTGTAAATGGAAGGAAAAAACTCCTTCTTGACTTCCCCATGGAGGTGATCAGTTGTCATTGATTGCCCTTATTACCTTAGTTAGCCCAGCTACAACCACGATGAGACTAATTCAGTGAAATCATCCAACCCCACATCATTTGACACAATTCCACTTCACCTCTCTGTTGACTACATGTTGTTGTCTGGTGAAGGCTCCAATACAGGAAGTTCAAGGAAGGCTGCAGCAGCTCAACATCTCCTGGTCTGCATTTCCCACAGAGGTTACTGACTAGAAGACAGAACAATATATATCAATACACAGCACCCTCAAAAATATCTGATATAAAGACAATTCTGAGCAGCTCACTACAAGAAAGATGCCATTTAACTGGAGAGAATTCATATAAGAGCAACAAAATGATGGATGGGCTGGAGGGATTGAGGAAAATTAACAAAACTAACACAATAATTTGGCTAAACAAAGAGTACAAGTTAATGCAGCACCCCAGGTGTGCATGGTGCGTAACACATACAGACTGACTGGCCCCTGCAACAAAGAGATTATGTTCTATACTAGACAGAGTGCAGCAAGGAATGACAACAGCAAAACAAAGGGTTGGGGCAGAGAGCATGGGAGGATGAGGGGCCCAATAGTGATGGATTGGGAGATAAACTGTTAAGTGTGTATATTGTTTGTTGATAATATCAAACATTTGGGGATGGTGTCTATCAAGAAGGCCTGGGAGAAGGTCAAGGACTGAAAGGCTAAGCACAGAACTGAGGGGAGGGGTAACTCAGTGGTTTGAGCATTGGCATGCTAAACCCAGGGTTGTGAGTTCAATCTTTAAGGGAGTCACTTAGGGATCTGGGGCAAAATCAGTACTTAGTCCTGCTAGTGAAGGCAGGGGGCTGGACTCAATGACCTTGCAGGGTCCCTTCCAGCTCTATGAGATAGGTATATCTCCATATCAGACCAGCACCATGGTCCATCCAGTCCTATATTCTGTCTCAGAGAAAGGCCAGCACCAGATACTTCAGAGGAAAGTGCAAGAAACACCATGATGAATTGCCTGCCCATTTACTACCTGTGTTGCAGTACAGCCTGGAGGCTCCAACCCCAGTATGCTAGGTTAGTACAAACATAACAAAAAGACAGTCCCCTACTCAGAAAAGCTGACAGTCTAAAAGGAGATGCTTCTTCCTGACCTCTTTAGTTAGCTGCTACCTGAGAATCTGTGGAATAGTCACAAGGAAAGTAATGGAAGCACCAAAATGTGGATCTTTCAATGGAATAGCCCCCGCGGGCGGCGCTATTCCATTGAAAGGATAGCACCTGAAGAACACTGTAAAGAATATCCCTGCATTGGCCCTGGTGGGAAATAGAAGAGGAGGGAGCAGATGATCTAGTAACCTCTTTTCCATCTCTAATGTCTATGATCACTGAGCAGCTTGCATGACACATCCATCTGCTGTCCCCACATGCACAGACAGGTGAAAGGGTATGTTCCAGCAGCCCAAAGCACATCTTTGAGGCCTGCCATGAAAAGGCCCATCTGATTTCATTTTCCTACATGCGGCTTCCCCTTCTCTGCCTTGTCTGCAGAGGGAGAACTAGAATAAACTGAGAAAGGAGGAGGGAGGTTTTCTGCTCCTGAGGAGTGGAGACAGATACAGAAGTACACAGATGGGTTTCAGAAGGGAAAGAGAGATGTGACATAACTACATAGGCAAAAAGGAGCATCAGAGGTTCAAAATCTTGTCTGAAGGAGTCTGGAGTAATTTTCAGCTGCCTAAAGCCCTGGCTATTGCATTTCCCTCCAGCTACATGTGAGAGCTAAGCACAATACCCAGCCTCATTCTCTGGTTCCCTGTGGCTGCTTGAGGCTAGAAGTATCCTCCACTTCAAACCTCATTCCCAGGACTATGAGTACGGCAGAGACCATCTGCTCAGCCACTGGTGCGGGACACAGGCAGGCAATGCATTGCATATCAGCAACCCACTCCTGCCGCCTAAGGGGCACCAATGGTGGACTCCATTCTCATCCAGTCCAGTCCCACCCAAAGGGAAAAAAACTTTGGCCTTGATGTGAGGTCTCAGGCAACAAAGGTGCTTTAAAGGCAGGAAGCAGAGGAAACACTCTCACAGCTTGATCTTCATTTATAGTACAGACTCTTTACACCACACTCTGGCAGTGGAAAGGGACCTTTAAGTGACTGTAAATGTGATGTAATTTACAGCCAGGGCAGAGTAACGGGACCTGCATTCCAATAAGAACCAGGCCCTTGGTCTCAGTACAGAACTGCTGGGTTAGAGCACCCTGGGGAATGCAGAATCACATCCCAACAGGAAAAAAATGGATGCAGAGGCTTACCATGGTGAAGCAGCTTGAAGTCTGTGCTGTCCAGCTCTCTCTCAGCCTCATTCCTCAGCTGCACCAGGAAGAGAAGTCTCAGCAACAGAGGCAGGTTCTTGCTAGCTAAGAAAGGATATGAAGAGTTGGTCGATGTGCTCCATCCTCCTGCTGTCTGATAGGTACTGCACATTTTGGAGCTGAGGGGTGGGGGGTTGTAAACTGACTCCCACCATCTCTGCCATCCCAACCCCCTTGTTCACTCTAGATCAGGGCTGAGCTTCCTTCCCTTCAACAGCTGGGTCCCACCAACACTGTTCTAGATTAGCTAGAGAAGAGAAAAGGGGATGGGATAGGGGGTAATACTTCCTCTCCCAGGAGGCCAGAGCCCCTTCAGCACAGAACTTGGATTTCACTTTCTTAGTGAGCCATTTAAGGGACTCTCTCACCTATATTTTTACAAAAGGGTCCAAAACCCTCTGAGAAGCTGGAAAGCATTTCTTTCCATTCTGATGCTTTTTATCCAAACTGTTATCCATCTTACGTAATTATGTGGCACCTCACACTCTAATGTATTCATCCTCACAATGCCCCTGGGATGTAAGGGAGCATTAGTATCCCCATTTTGCAGATGGGAACCTGAGGCACGTGGTGACTGAACAACTTGCACAGGGTCACAACGGATGGCTGGGGCAGAGCAGGGAATTGAAACTATGTCTCCAGAGCTTCAGTCCTCCAGCTTAACCACAAAGCCATCCTTCCTCCCCTTCCTCCACCTGAGCTTCTCTCTGCCGGGCAGCACACAGGGGAACAGGTACATATGTGTGTGTGTTTGTATGTGTGTCTGAATGATATATGCAGGATAAATTACCATAGCCTTAGAAAAACTTTTCCCAATGCTGCTTAGGGGGTTTTCCTTTTGGGAGGGGAGGTTTAACTGCTTTTTTAAAATCCACTTGGGGTTCAGAGAACTTGAGCCCAAAGCCCTCTGGTTATTTATACAAGTTTTCCAGATACACTGCCCCTTCCCTGATCTGCCACAGACCTTGTCAAAGGGGCCACCTCCAGTGGGAGGAAAGAATTCAAGTCTCCAAGGCTCATTCGGTCGTTGGCTTCCCAGATGAAACTATGAATAACTGGGCCACAGCTAGCATAAACCGCAACACAAGCAGGTGCCTGTGATGTTAGGAATACAGGAACTGCAATGGTAGATCAGACCTCAGGTCTATCTCGCCTCGTACTCTGTCTCTGATAGTGGCCAGCACCAGATGCTTCAGAGGAAGGTGTAAGAACCCCACAGTAGGCAGAGGTGGGATAATCTGCACCCATGTTGTTGTCTATGCACTAGGAACTGTCTTGAGCCCCACCAACTCATGCTGCATAGAGAACTGAACAGAAAAGAGACAGGAATGACTTTCAGCCACTAGCTACCTGAGAATGTGTCTACATGAGGACATTTACTGGCAGAACTCTACAGCTCTAGTTATACTGATGTAACTTCCCAGCGGCACATTCTTTTACCCCAGAATCAGAATGCCCTTTTTAAGTTTAATTTATACTGTTTTCAAAGTGACATAAGCAAACCAGAAAAGGCACATGGATTCTGGAATAAAAGTGTGTCCACACGGGGAGTTATATCAGTGTAACTGTAGTGGTACAGTACTGCCAGTAAATTTCTGCATGTAGACCAAGCCCTGTCATTAGGGCCTGGTCTACATTTAAATCTTATGCCAGCAAAGCTATGTCAGTGATTTTTTTTACTAGCATGAGCCCTAATGTAGGTGCTGTGTATTTCAGGGAACTGGTATAACTCATATCTTCACTAGGAGGGTTTCCTATGTGGGCAAGGCCTAGATTAGAACCAGTGACTCTGAATCAAAGGCTTTTTATCCTAGAGTTACCCCCTTGAGCTATCCAGTCCTTTCGCAAATTTCAGGGTGTCGGTCCCTAATTACAAGTCGGATTCACCTTGTAATGTAGTGGAGCTGCTCTCCACTAGAAGCTTCTGCAGGATCTGTAGAAACTGACTCCGAAGGAGGTCACAGACAACAACATCCTCGTTTCTTTTCAGGAATATACTCAAGGTCATCAAAACTTTGTGAGCCACTTCTGTGGTGCTCAAGCAGACCAGGTCCTGAGAGGGAAGAAGTGCAGACATTACCTTTCAGTCCTCATTAAGCAGAAGTCATTGCTGTTCACTATCATTATGCTACACTGGTTCCTTGAGTGACACCCTAGTGATGTGGATGTCCAAACTAAGTTTGGCCATTAAGCAGAGTGTATTGTATAACACAGGAAGGCTCTCCTCTTTGATAGCCAAACACCTTCTTTAAGTGGGCTGTTAGAATTAAAATATTGATATGTGGCTATCAAGTGCATGGGCATAGGAAGTAGTGCAAGCTGAAGGCCAAGAATTTTAAAAACAAGTGCCTGAAGTTAGGCACCCAAATCAGTGGCCTGAGTTTCAAGAGTGCTGAGCAGCCCGCCACTCTCATGGGGAACTGCTGCTTTGAAAAATCAGGCCACTTATGGTAGGTGCCTAAATATGGATTAATGAGCCTAACTTTAGGCACTTGTTTTTAAAGTTCTTGACCTAGAAGCCTAGCACATATAGAAGCAACATAATGGATAAAAGTCATCAATTGTGTGATACATAAACCAAATATTCCTAGAATCACAGAAATTAGAAATGGAAAAGACATGTATAGATCATCTAGTCCATCACCCGGCCCCTCCCCAAGAATAGCCCTTCCTGGAGTCTCATAGCTAAATTCCCACTAACTCTGGCAAAGATTCAGCACAGCACTTAAGCACGTGCTTAATTTAAGCATGTACTTCAGAGTTAGCTGAACAGGAAAGGACTTAAGTATGTGCTTAAAGTTAAGCTTATGTTTAAGTGCTTTGGTGAACTGGGACCTATAAAGAAACAGATTCAGAGAGAGGCCACATGAAGGATAGAGAGATTTCCATATGAAGAGAGACTGAAAATATGGGGAGTGTTCAGAGAGGAGTACGAGGAGACACAATGGAAGTATAAAAATAATGAATGCTTCAGAGAAGGTAAATTGAGTGCTCCTATTTACCCTAGTTCGTAATACAAGAACAAGGGGACATTCAGTGAAACCGAAAGACAACATATTTAAGAGTGATAAAAGGAAATCCTTCACGCAATTATGTATAATTGCCCTGCAGAACTCACTGCAACACGATATAAAGATTTGAATTTTATTAAGCAAGGATTAGATATTTATATGGATAATGAGAACATCCACAGTTACATTACAGGATAAAATATTTCCAAGAGATAGAAACCCTTAGGCTTACATGCATGAGCTGACCACTTATTTCCCAGGGTTAGGAAAAAACTTCCCTTATGAGCAAGTTTTTCCGTAATCTTCCATTATGGGGTTTCTTGCATCTTCCTGTGAGGTACAGGATACTGATCAGCACAAGAAATAGACCAGTGGTCTGACCCAAAAAGTCCTTTGTTCTTAATGCAATACAACACCATTCCTAGGAGCTACTGCTTATATTTAGTCTTGAATTCACTCCAGGGTGGCCTTCATCTGTGCAGGACAGGAATATAATCTAAAGTTGGCAGAATGTCTTCACTGTATGTGTTAAAATTTTTCTTTTTTTACTCAGGAGCTAACGGTCCCAAATGAAGCCACGCACCATCTGTCCTATCTAATCCAGAGTTTTACTAAGAACAGCTAAGCAAATAAAACATTTTGGGAAGGATATTCATTTTTGCCTTCCTGTGACAAGTCTTTTCATTTTACAAGAGTTTTAACTTGCCCTAACAGGCGGTGGTTATTTTTCTCATAAGCTTGGTTTATATCTGATGGAATATTTATGCCAAGACACTGGACTGTTTTATTAGCCCATCTAAATTCAAACTGATCATGCTGTACCCCTGCAGAGAGGTGAATTGCCAATATCTGTGATTTACTGTAGTTTACTTTAAAGCCTGAAACAGAGCTAACTTAATTTCTTTCTGTAGGAGTGCATGGCAAAGAGAAAATGGGAAAACGGGAACATAATATCATTCACAAATGATGCAATTTGTTTCTCTTTTACCTGTTTATACTTGTAATATTTAACCTGATTTTAGTTTGCTGGATGAAAGGTTTCAAAATTATTGTGAAAGATAATGGGGTAGGTAAGTCATCCTGGGGCATCCCTCCTTTTAATTCACATTGATTTGTCAGCTCATCATTCACTTTCACTGATGCTCTGGAAATATCAAGTGCCTGAATACGGTTTAGTATTCTGGAACCTAGTCCCAACTGGTGAAGGATTTCTCTAAGAAATGGCCATTCTGTCTGTTGGCCCTTTCAGTAACTGGAGAGAAACAAATATTTTGCAACCTCCTAGACCAGGCCAGATGTACCAGCACTCCAAGCCCTGTGTACGCTGCCTTGTGTGTGCCTACTCATAATAAAACCTACCTCATTTCTTAATTATTTTGGGAGGTTGTTTATCCAAGAGCGTGTTATTACTTGATCTGAAAGCTTAGTAGTTTTAGTAATGAAATAGGTCTCTATTCTGAAAAATATATAGTATCCTTATCAGGTTTGGGAAGAAATAACAACAAGTCACTGACTTCAATGGAGCTACACTGATTTACATCAGCTGAGGATCTGGCTCATTATTCCAACTGCTGGGAGGACCTTGCCTCATTGATCCCAAAGGCTTTTGATTTCAGTTTTGTAAGAGCAGCACAGGGTGCTATTTACAGTCCTGGGAATCCTGGGAGTAGCACAAAGAAACACCTCCCAGTTAATAAATACGCTCCCTCAGTTCTAGTCTTTACATGCCATTATTAAAGCTCTTTATTCCTCCCTTTCTTTCCTATCCATCAATAGCCTATCACAGTCCCCACGTTAACAGAGCAGCTTCTTGCAAAGCTACCACAGAAGAGATTAACCAGCTGTGTGCAAGGAGCTCACAGTACGTGTGAATTTTTTTGTACCATGTAGAAACAAGTGCAGTTACACAGCACCTTTGTGATGGGTTTCACTACCTATCTGGGTTGCCGAAGGCCCTCCAGGCAGTTTGGGCAGGTTGCCCAGGTACAAAGGCCCACAATCCCATTTCCCATGTCGGGTATGCATGTCTGGTTTGTGACCAGAGCTTAATTTGTGCCGGGGCACAGCCCTGGCCCCTCTCCTGTCAGTGGCGGGCTGTGACATTTATAGCAAAACATGTAATTCTACACTAGCATGCAAGGCATGGCCTCGCTCGTATGGTGTGTGCAGAGGGCACTCTGCACGGAGGACACCATGTTGTTCTGCAAAACAGCCTCCTCCACGCAGCATGACCTTGCCGAATGGTGCCATTTTGTTGTAGGAACAGTATTATTGTTATTGCTTGAGCCCCAGCACCTCTTTCTTTACAAATCAGACACTGTCTGTGACTGCATATGCATATGTGAGACTGCTCACTTAGGCCCCGATTCAAGAAAGCACTTATCCATGTGCTTAAGTGCTCTCCTGAATTGGGGCCACAGATGGCAAACTGTCCTTGTGAAAGTCACATACCAGTAAAATGAGTAAAACACTGGAATTGCCCTTCAGGATGTGAAGCAAAGTGGTAAAGCTGTTTGGATAATCAAGCAAGCCAGAGGAGAGCCCAGAGACAGCATCTTCAGTCTCAATCTGACTGTAGTCTTCCCAGGAAAACCAGAGCTGGAGGATCCGGCGACCGAATCTGCCCATAAGCTCAGAGTAACGCAGGAAGAATTTAAGCAGAAGAGGATGATGAATATAGACCAAGCTCAGATCTGATGTATTCTCCAAGACTCTCCTTATGGCACATAGTGGACTCTGACAAGAGTGGAGAAGGACGGAGAGAGAGAGATATAACCATTAGATGAAGCTGATGTGATGAGACCCCATTGTGAGAAGTGCAACTATGTGCCCTGTTTATGCAGCCTATCAATACCAACTAAATACAGTCCTTGTGAAAGCTGTTGAATCACAAAGTCTAAAAAACTCTTGTAAGCTCTGTTCAGTGCTCTGGCCCAGCAAAAAGCCGTATGGAAACGTTAGAAAGCCTGCTGCAGAGGCTGCTGATGCTCTCAGGAGACTGAAGCTATGGAATTTATAACAGCATTCACGTGCACTCCCAGGACTACCCATCATGCAAACACCTTCCCACATGGACACAACTTTATTCAATACAATCTCTATCCCAAAGTGTTTGTCACAGTGAAATAACCTGAGAGTACACATGGTGTGAGCTCCCCCAGTCTATTCACTGACCATCACACAGTCACTTTTCTGGGGTGGAGGGGAGAAGGTAAAAAACTTAAAGAAGCTCTGATTGATCAGCTTTTACCGAGTCTAAGGCTTCGCCTTTGTCTTGACAGACAGCCAGAAGGTAAAGAACGGCTCTGAAGACGTAAGAAGGGGGACAGTCTCCCTGGTCCTGCACTGACAGAAGGAAATTTCTTATGGCTGAGAATAATTCTGCCTCTGGAACAAACCTGCAAACGAGGATGGGGAGGGGGAACAGTAAGGATGACAGGCTGCACCCTCTGGTATCTGTGTACAGTGCTTCCCCCTCCTCAACCACACGGCTTGGCTCACCTGTCTTCCAGGGCATAGGCACAGTACAAGAGGAGCAGGAGGCAATACTGGTGGCTACGAAGAGCTTCATCTGCACAGAAGGGATCAGGGGTTTCTGACAGGAGGGTGAGGCTTTCAGGCACACTGCAGTTTAACTGGGGCAGACTCCTCTGCAGAAGCTCAGACATCTCTCGCTCTAGAAACAAAACCAGCATGAGAAGGGCAGGAAGGACACAGGAATACCAGAGCAAAGGCAGAGAGGTCTGGAGCGAGGGGCGCATAGTTCCCCACCCCAAAGTCAGGAGTATAAAATCAGGGAGGGATCTGGCTGATAAATACTGAAGTCCTTCATTTATCCCCAGAGCAGATATAGTACAAGCAACAGCAAAGCATGATTCTCTGGTGCAGATCTGCTGTACATGCCTCAACCCAACCTAGTGAGACCATATCTAAAGATGAGAAGGGAGTTCTGCTTTCATGGCCCATTCAGTCCTTGGCTCTCTGCTGAGGCCATCAAGAGAGGTACTAATTAGTGCCAAGTGTGAGAGTGTTTTTTGTGTAGAAACCTGCACTCACCCAGAACTCGAATGAGAAACCGACACACTCATTTCACTTAGGGCTTGAAATTATTGGTGCAACTAAATTGGGAAAAAGTACTCTTATTCCAGGAGAATGGGGTCCCCACTGAGAGTTACAGCAGCATAACTATCACAGTATCTCTAATATCCTGGCGCTGACATGGCTACAACTATATGCATATCATGGTATAATTATACCAGCAATGTTATGCCAGTAAATTTCCCATGCAGACAAGCCACAGAGATTGCTGAAACAGGGATGGATTTTTAAATGGCTCAAGGCTTGGTTTTGAGTATGGAGTAAATATGTTTAGAAAAGCCCGATTTGCCTCCCTGGCAGACAAGCTAAACCAGCTGAAAAACCTTTAAATCGGGGCAGACTGGGTCCACCCAATCTGAACCAGATTAAATTGTCTCCTTCATCAAACTTGCCCTGCTGGGAAGAGTCCTCCATCTTCTCTGCAGCTGAATGAAGGCTGAGGCACATGCTGTAGAGGAAGCTGGAACAGGCTTGATTCAAAGCAGGGTTACTTGAAGGGAGAACAAAAAGCTATGAGAATGGAGATCTAGGCTGATGCATCCTCTCCAGGCTCGGGATTCTTTGTGTTTATTTGACAGGAGAGCATCAGCCTAAGGGGAAACAACTAACTGCACACAACATCTCCCTTGTCAAGACATGACACCCAGAGCTTGGGGCTCCCGGAGACTCAGGAGCACCTCAGACATTTTGGGATGAATAGCAAACTGCAGTGAAGAGCTATCAGAGCAGTTATGTTCCAGGGGTTAACGCTGAAGAGTGGCAAAAAAATTACCTAAAAGAGTGAGAATAACACAATCCCAGACATTTCCCTCCCTGGCTGTGAGGACTTCTCACAGAGACCCCTATAGAACAGGACAATCACATTATAGCCCAGTGTCTCATGGGCAGCCTGCCCGTCTATTCCCAGTCGCAGACCACCTCCCTGCCCAATCGCAATCACAAAACATCCCCGTTTTAACTATCACACCTGCTCATGTGGACAAGCGATACTAGGATCACAGCAAATGTATTTTTAACTGTTCTTGTAATGAGATGTAGCAGCTGGATACAAGGAGAGCCAATACCATGCAACTAGCCTGCTTGCTGCAAACTATTAGCAAGTGCTCCATAAGTAGAACCCTGCAAATCTTGGGGGGGGATGACACAATCTAAAGGGGAGGACACATGACCGCCCCATATGTCTCCTCTGTCCAGTGACTGCCGGCGCCCAGCCTGGGGCCGCTACGCTCTCCCCACCCCACTAGAGTTACCTGGCGGGGGCTCCGTCCTTCTTCCACTCTACTTCCCCACAACATTCGCCCGCTCTCCCTGGCAGCTGGGCCGGGGCGGGGGGCAGGAGGGAGCCACTTCTCATGCTGGTTGAAGCTGGCCACTCTGGGTTGCCGACTCTGTGCAGCGCAGCGGCTGCCTGAAAGAGAGCCTGGTGGGGTCGTGGCCTGCCCTGCCCCACCCCTCTGCTCCCCACCTGAGCCGGCTGCCGGGGACAGGGACCGAGTGAGCCAGAGTCCCTCCTCCTCCTCAGCATGTTTCCAGCTCACTCGGCCCCTGTCCCTAGCAGCTGGGCCCAGGCAAGGAGCAGAAGGAGTGGGGAGGACTGTCACCCAAGCCAGGCTCTCTCTCAGGCAGCCGCCGCTGCGCTGCCAGAGCAGCGGTTGGTCCCACCCGTTCTGCTCCCCACCTGGGCCTGGCTGCTAGGGACAGGGGCTAAGCATGCAGGGGGCAAGTGCAGTGGGAGTAGGGAGCCCCTCTCCTTCCCCACGCCCCGGCAGGCCAAACAGAAATATGGGGGGAGGGAGGCACTTGACCCCACACATCCCCTTATGTGTCGCCTATGCACGTGGGGCTCTATCCATAAGCTTCCAAGCTCTGCTAGAAATGACCCAGCATAATGTATTTTGTTAGCGTTCTTACCCTCCCCATCCCTTCTAATCTCTGCACCAGTATTTATACAGATGATATGTTCTGTTCCTGAAATGCCAGAGCGCCAGTGAGATGGAAACTGCTGTAACATCTCCTCTCCATGGCATCTAGTGTCATCACTCCATCACAGCAGCACCATTCTACTGAACCTGCATAGCATGTTCCTTACTGGGGATCTTTTAAAACAGTTCTGGCAAAATTTGGAGTTCACTTTTCCATTACACCATCAGTTTCTCATCCCACCTCCATCCATCTAATTTTTTCCTTTTCAATTACTATTTAGGTCTTTCAACAAATGAAGGGAAATGGTGCTGGCCCAACTGAGCAGAGGGTATTTCAGATCCATTCGCATTTAATTCTGCTGCAAGAATAGGACATTTCCTCTTTTCTCAAATGGAAACTCTTGCTTTAGTTTCAATATAGAGGACAGTACCTTTGTCCAGTGCAGAATTTGGCCTTCAGCTCCAGTGCCAGTCGGATGAAAGAAGAGGATGCTAGAGAGAAGGCAGAGCAGGAGGGAAGATAAATACATCATGAGAGCACAGAATGCAGGACCTCATGTAACAAACAACCATCCCAGGCTTTTCAAAGCAACAGCTGGCGAACAAGACAGGTCACCCCAGACAGAATGCATCTGCCAGGCTCATTCTCTTTTAGGTTCCATGGGCAAATTATTTTTCCAGATTTTGGAGAGAAGAGCATATCTGTGATTCACTGAAGAGTTAAACACTGCCAGATGTACTAGCTCAGGGTGAGAGTGACTTCCTCTTCATCTCTGACCCAGAAGGCGGTAAGGAAGACAGACAATATAGAGGAAATAAAACATTTTGTCTGATCTCCTGTCTCCAACAGTAGCCAATTCTGGAGGCTTTAGAGGAAAAGTACAAAGCTCCCATAACGGACCTAGCTGAAGTGCTATGCTATGGGGTAAACTCCTTCCAGCACCCAGCAGATCTTGTTTTTAACCCTGGGTTTTATCCTAGTTAACATAAGTGCAGATGCTAGTCTTACTCAAGTAAATGGCTCTATGTGAAATCTTGCTAAGCTCTTTGCTTCAATCATATCCAGCAGCAGCAAGTTCCCCAGGTTAATCAGATTATTCACTGTGTAAAGAAGCACAGTGAATTACGATGTCAGAGTTCTGCATACCCAGCTTCCTAGAGAATTTCTCATGCATGCTCGGCACAACAGTGAACAGGGTGCTGAGGGAGGATATGAAAACCTCCATCAGAGCTGGGCTGGAAGTCCTTTCTGAGTGCTTCTGTGGGGAGAGGAAATGGTCAGCAAGCAAATGCCATATCCCTTTGTGCACAGGCACTGAGTTTCATTTTTCTGGGTGGGTGTTCCACTCCTGCTCCACCCTGAGGTACCACACCCACTCTGCCCCCCCTCCAGTGCCCCACCCTTGCTCCTACCCCTTCCCCTAAGGCCCCACCCTCACTCTGCCTCTTCCCACCCCCACTCCACCCCCTCCTCTGAGCACCTCTTGCCAGCCGCCAAACAGCTGATCAGCAGGGCCGGCCAAACAGCTGTGGTTGTTGGGTGCTGAGCACCCACTAATTTTTTTCCGTGGGTGCTCCAGCCCCAGAGCACCCATGGAGTCAGCGCGTATGCCTCTGTGGTGAGAAACATGCAAGCACGCACAGGAGGAATCAGTGATCTTCCAGTGAGTCTCACACAGTTACAAAGCCAGGCAAATGTGACTGAAATCAAACAGCCCTTGTTCCAACAAGACTGCTGACAGCAAGTATCCTGCCTCAGACGGTGGCCTATGCCAGGTGTTTCAGAGGCAGATTTAACAACTTCCCTCTCTGAACAATTGTTCCTAACTGCAAGATTCTACACCAAGGATAAAAATTCTTCCTGGTTGCAGTTGTTAATCAGCTTCTGCCCTGGAGCATAAGACTGATACTGTCATTTTTACTCTACACAAAATCACAGTAAATGGTATTCCTGTTCAGCTACTGAGGATCCAGTGCACCAAAGCACTTAAGCGTGTGCTTTGATATCAATGGGACTTAAGAATGTGCTTAAGCGCTTTGCTGAATAGAGACAGACGTAAGCACTGAAGTGCTTTGCTCATTATGGCCCTAAGTCTGTAAGGAGTGTAGTGATAGATTTGTAAGAAACACAGTACAAAGCTATGTGCGTCTGCTCCTTTTTTTAACCTTTATTCTTTGCTTTAGGGAGCTATGCGCTTCAATAATGTCCTGTGGCTGCAAGTTCCACAGGTTAATCAATATACTGCATAAGCCTATATGAAAAGGAACTTGCAAGTTCTGTTGCTTGCCAGGTCAGTGGCAGGCCTTGAGAGAGGAGAAGAGGGAGAGTGGTTCATACATACATCACCTCCAGCAGTGGCAAAACCTGTCATTTATTATATCATTTGGGTGGGATGCTATTTCAGAGACTTTGTGGTCTGGAGACATTTGCTGTCCTCTCTTTGGAACGCAGGCAGGGCTTTGAGTTCGTACACTCTACCTCTAGAATTCTCTCTTCCGTTTCCCATAAGCCAAATAATTTGAGGATTGCCCAACGTGAGACAGAATATGTCACAACTACACTTGATGCACTGGTTTATCCCTAATTCTCCTCTCTCACACAAATTCTTCTCAACAATCTCCCATGAGCATCTCTACTGCTTGGGTGTCCCTTATGCCTGAGGGACAGCATGGGTTCTGAACTAACCCTACCAGGACTATGGGGATGCAAAGGCTGTCGCAAATCCTCAGCAGAAACTCAGAGAAGCTGCTCAGAGTATTCTCGCTCTCCGAGCTGGGAGCGGTGAAAACGTTTTCCTGAGCCAAGGGGTCGCTTTGACATTCCACAGCTAACCTAGAAACATACACATGGACATCAGAGAATGCACTCTCCTGCTCTCTGCAGAACCTACAGTGTGTTACACCTCTAGAACCTGACGGACCCCAGAGCACGTCACACGCTGTATGTGCACGGATCAGTCAGTGAAATGAGCTGTCTCGAGTGAAACCTGACAGCCATTTTGAGACAGTGACACTACACAATAGTATCACAGGAGGGGAAAGAATTACATGGAATTCCTGCTGCAGGGCGAGGCGACAATATCATTTGGTTAAATGTACTTAGCCAGTTTGGAATTGGCCTGAACACTAGGGCTAATGCCTCAAATTTTATAAAAATGCCATAGGGTATTTAATGATCATGAGTGGCCATGAACCCAGTTTTGCATCGCAATACAAGACAGTATTATAGAATCACAGCGCCCCCTAATACCGTACCAAGACATTGTTTCAGCACAGACTAAAACAAGGGGACTGGAAATGGAATACAATCTTCCACTAGTTCAAGTTTAGCCACCAAATTTGGTTAGTGACCAGAAGTTGTTATTTTCCATCAGCTGTTCAGGGGTCTATATGGAATGAGCTAGTGGGTCTCAAGCAAGTTTCTAATGGGACAGGTGTGCATCACAAAACCATTAAAACTGGTACTGGGTCCCCCTTCTTTTGGCATCTCAGTGAAGCCACCAAGGATTAAATAGGCAGCTGGAGATTCTTCTCTCACTCTTAGAAGTGAGTCCCTCCAGATCTGGGTAGTGTCACCATGAGGGGGACTCTACTTTGCAACTTCCTGCAGTTTACATATTATGTGGCTAAACAGACAACTTGCGTCTCCAGTTTCAAGAGCACCACATTGACCAATACATTTAATTTTAAAAAATCATCTCTAGCCTCTGGCCAGCAGGTCCAGCAGCTGGATCGCAGAGGCAAGGGGAGATCTCCACTGACTGGATACATCCACTCTAGTGGCTTAAAGGATTCCTCTAAGTAGTTTGGTCTGCTCTAGCATCTGGCTAACAGCTGGCAGACTCACCAAAGAGCAGCCCTTCCACAAGTTGAGCTGACAGAGCATATACTGTACTTTCACATCACGCTGAAGAGAGACTGTAAGGAATGTTAGCTGGGCACAGGGTGTGTGTGTGGGAGGGGGGAATTCACTCACCAATTGATTAGACAGAGCCAGAACCAACAGAAATCCCCTTATCTCCTCACCTACAAGCATTTCTGAAGCCTTCCACAGTGCTGAGCAGGAACTGCCCCTGTCGCAAAACCGCTTTGTTCTGAGTGCTGTGCCCCAGGTGACTCTGAGAGATTGAGAAGAGAAGATCACCCGGTTAAAGGACAGAAGCAGGGACGTGTCCCCAAGAGCTTGTGTTTATATGTGAAACAAATTAACGCTCTCTCCTAAAATCATCTAACCAACCAGGGGTGGGGTGTGGGACAAAACCTGGAGCCAAACTCATTTCATCCACAGATGGGTTCCTTTCTGTTCAATGTTATTACCCATCTGCACTTCCCTCATTGAGATTAGAGACGGAAAAGGTCTATTAGATAATACCTTGCCCACTGGACAATGCAATATATTGCCATGGGTCTGTCTGGTCCAGTTTTAAATGGCTCAGGTAATGAGGCTTCTACCACTTCTCTGGGCAGACTATTCAGCTTTAATTTTCTCTTAACTCAGTTTCATCTCATTACCTCTCAGACAACCCTGAACAATTCCTCTTCCTCCTCAGTGTTTACATCATTCAAGTTGCTTGTAGATTGTTATATCCCTCCTTAGACCCCAATCCTGCAGCTGACTGAATATGCAGACCCCAGCTCCCACAGAGTCCCATGACTTCAATGTGGCTTCACGGGAGCACAGGAGTCTGCCTGCATCTCCTCAGCTGTAGGATCAGGGTGCTAGTCATTTGGGTGAGGAAGGACATACATGGCTCTTTTAATCTTTCCTCATAAGTCAAACCCACCAGCCCCTTAATCATCTGAGTTGTTCCTCTCTGAATTCTCTCCAAATGGACAACATTTAAGAACAGTTACAGATTGGTGCCTTAGCAGTCTGAAAACTGCGTGTCCATGAGCCACTTTCCCATCTGATCTGAAACAACTTCCACCTTATAATAACCATTTTCTGCTTTCCCTGAGTCAAAAGAAGTCAACACCTGGTTTCTTTTCCACAGCCCAGTTCCCCTCTATTAGAGATTCACTAGTGCTAGTGAAGCTAAGGAAAAGCAAATAGACTGACATCTAAGGTCTAACCAAGCAGCATGAAACAACTTCATAGTCCCCCATCAGATAAGACAAAAACAACAGATGCTACATGATTCAGACCATACACAATTCTTTTAGAGAAAATTCAGCAGCTACCTGCACAACCCTACATTAGCCAGGTGCTTCTTCTATTACAGACACATCTGTGACATAAACACATGTGCATATAGATCTAAAACAGGGGTTCTTAACCTTTGTGCTTGTGTTCAGCCACCTGTTATCGCTCCTCCTCCTCAGATACACCTCTGGATCTTTGCCCAGTTCCCCTTCATGAGAAGAGGATCGGATATGCAAACCAAATGATTGCTGGCAGCTCTCTTGGTGAGAGGGGAGTCACAGCCCACAGAATGTGACCCTCTGGGTTTAAGGCAGAGTGAGCAACATCACGGTAATAAACATGAAAGAGGAAGCATGCTGTGAAGGAGCCTGAACATGGGGAGCTTGAACTCTCTTGGAGCTGAGGACACATGGCAGGAGCAAACTCAGCCCTGAGGGAAGGAATGCCTTGCACCACTTCTTAGCAAACCTCCCCACATTTCCATTGATCTGACAGAAGCAAGAATGGCCTCCAGAGGGACCCATACCCAGCCTTCCTCAACTAGAGAGGAACGGAGGCCTTTCCAGAGGAGGAGGAATAAAGGGAAACTGAGGGGATCCCTGAGGGCTACCCACCACCCATGGAAAAATGGGGAAGTGTGAGTGTATGCGGAATCCATATGCCCAGCTATATACAAAGGCCATCATCCGCAAGACCTGCTGAGAAGCAGCATGGTCCTCCTTGACTTACTGCAGGCCTCTTGTTAATGGGTGGCAGTGAGAGGTCAGCGCACCGCTTCAGCATAGTCTCAATCAGTTTCTGCAACTCTACATACTGCACTGGGGGGCAGCTCAAGTGGTCCTTCCTGTGGAGACAGGGAGAAAGAACGACAGCAGCTGGGAGTTGGAAGAAGCCTCTGAACTTTCCCCACTGGAGACAGAACTCCCTAGAAGGTCACATGTCGTAGCACGGTCAGCATGAAGAAAGACTTGATTGACAGCAGCACACCTTCACCAACTCGCTCCTGCCTTCAGTCTGTAACTGGGCTGAAAGCAACTGTAAGCAGAGTCAGGATGAGCTCTACCCTGACATCTGGTGGTGAATTGTGGCGAGTTGTGGAAAAGAACTTCGGGGCTGATCTTGTTTGCATAGGCACACCCACCCCGCCTAGCATGAGCACACAGCAGCTCAAATGGTCACTTTGGCTGCTGTGGGATCCCCAGTTTCTCTGTTATTGGGGAAGGAAGAATAAAGTGTTGTTACCCTGATTATGTGAATCAAGGCCAGTGGAACTATTTTATGACAGAGGGACTCACCATCAACTAAGTAGCACTCACTAGACAAGGGACATGGGTTCCAAAACATAGTGAATTGAGAGAGGCTGGGGACAAGTATTTGTATCTGGTGGTGTGGGTGCCATTTGAGGGCCTGAAACACCAATTGCACTACTTTCTCCTGTCTCCACTGTTGAATATCAGATCTAATTTTGATTCCATTAAGAGTCTAGTTACAGGCTGCTGAGCTGAATTCACTTTGGGCCAATGGTGCACTAGCACTAGGGCTCTCCTACTACAAGCTGAAATCACTAAAGAGCTAAAATTCCTGAGTTGAAATCACTGAATGCTGTGTTAACTAGTGGGGGGGGGCTGAAGATATATTGCTAAGTGGCTGGCAGAGCGGAGCAGTTTGTGGGACAGTTGGAGCGGCTCATGGTACGGCTGGTGGAGTGGAGCAGAGCAGTTCATGGGATGGCTGGAGTGGCTTATGGTGAAGGCTGCAGCAGAACCCCATGGAGAGGCGGGGCAGTTGGCCTCGGACCACGTAAGGTGCCCCTTAACACCTTGCGCCCGAGACTTTTGGGTTGTTGGACTTTTGGGGCTTTGGGTGATTTTTGGATTGCTGGACTTAAGAACCAAAGGGAAAGGACATGGCCCAATTTGCTGGGGTGGATCTTTGCTCATGGTTTGGTCTATGAACCCTAGTTGTGGTGTTTTCCCAATTTAATGCTGATGTCATTTACCTCATGTTATTAAAAAATTTCTGCTACACTGAGACTCTGTGCTTGTGAGAGGGAAATTGCCTCTTTGAGGCGCCCAGGGATGTGTGTAAGATTTTCCCAGGTCACTGGGTGGGGGCTCGAGCTGGTTTTGCATTACGTTGTTGGGAGGGGACCCCTATGTACTGAACCCGGCCCTTGCTGCTATCAACTCGGCCTGTCAGAAGGGTTACACAACTGTGATGGATTTGGACAGACAGGAGTAGATCTGAAGAGGCCAATATAGATAAGACAGATGTGTCACATCCAAAATACATCTATCCTGAAAGAAGCCTATCAGACCCCTTCCTGCTTACCTCAGAATAGCTGCCACAGCTTTCACAGCCTCTGCTGCTACCTCCAGCACCGGACATTTTACTGCCTCCACAAGAACACCAATGGCATCTTTACACATGGCTAGATTTGTGAATAACTTGATTTCCACTGGCTGCCTGAGAAGGGGAAACAAAGAGCAAATGAGTAAAGCTTTGTGACCACCCCTGCTTGAAAAGAGAATCTGAAAAATAAGACCATCTCAGTGTTCTGTGCTTATTCCCCAAAAGATGCTAAGTCTTGCAGCTTCAGGCCATGCTACCAGATGTCACCCAGCAAAGTCCTAGCTTTGTACTAAAATAGTGACTCTCCATGGATTTCATGTAGTCTCCAAGCAAAACATTCATGCTGTCTATGAGTCTGTTATGGCTGGATCCCAGCACCATTCATGACAGGCAAATGTCAAAAGATTTGGAGAAAAACCTAAGTGTGTGGATGGTTAACTGACTGGATCAGCAAACACTGGTCTGAAAACTTCAGGACAAACAGCCTCCCTACAAGAGAAAGAACTCACCTACCTAGGATTTCACACCATGCTCAACACTCTGGTACCTGAATGCCTACATGAACATAGACATTTCTAAATAAGGAAACAAATACCCTGCTTCCAGAGAGGCTGGAAATGCCATGAAAAGAGCTTCTCTTGCAGTATTGTGGCACTTCTAATGCTGAATGGGGCCAGGAAGCATGGATGCTGCCATGAACTTGAAAAGTAATCTTTTAAATAAGAGCACCACATTGACCAATATATTTAATTTTTTAAAAAATCATCTCTAGCCTCTGACCAGCAGGTCCAGCAGCTGGATTGCAGAGGCACGGGGAGAACTCCACTGACTGGATACATCCACTTTTTAAGCCTCAGAAAAGGTTCTGGTTCTTGAAAAATGAGAGCTTTGGTTACCTGACCTTCTCATTGCAGAATACACTAGAGTCTTCAGTGCCACAGCGTTCATCCCTCAGGGACCTTTACCAATGGGGAAAGGCCAGGAGTAAGCGTGACTGGGTGCAGAAGCAGTATTTGGTCACTCAGTGAAGAAAGGATTAACTCCAGCTCAGCACCCCACCCCCACCCCATGCCCAGATGCTTGAGGCAAGAGCTAAAAGAATAGCTGGAACAGCTGCTTGGGAGACAGGGTGAGGAGAATGCTGTTGGAAAGGTTGGTCTCCATGCATCAAACCCCACCTTCTTCTATTTACTTTCTTATTTTGTTAATTAACTTTACTTTCTTGTTTGAAACACTAATCCTTGAGAAACGCTTCCCTACTTACTGGGGGCACAAACATCACTGCAGTAGGGCACTTTATGATGTAACCTTGCCTTGGAGGAAAGGTCTAAATGGCAGCATCTCTGTTTGGGACCCAAACTCTGCCCACTGCTCCTCCTGTGCTGACACTCCTGCAGGTGGAGTGCGCTGAGCTACCCCAGACCACCTGACCCTTTCAAAAAGTGACTGGATTCCTAAGGGATGGATTCCTGTGTTCACCCACCCCTTTAGCCAGTGACTATGGTGGTGTGGGGGAGAGGAGGTGTTACTGCAATGCAGCAACCCTCAGTTAGAGAGCAAGTAGAAGGGGAAAAAATTAGAGGATCATTGATGGGATCCCTTTCCCCAGCACAAAATAGATGATCTGAAAGAAACACTGTACTTCAAAGCATAGCAAACAAGAACACATACTAAAAATGCCATTAGCTTGGCAAGATATTATCCTCTCTTCCATTTGTAATGATTAATGCAGAGATGTGTACTGTGAGCAAGAACTTTTCTCTTCCCATATCCTGGTTTCTCTCCTTCTGACGGATCCTGCACTGCCAGCACCATCCTGTGCCAACAGCATCACATTTTTTGTTATTGGTACAGAAATGACTGTAATATCATGTCACAGAAATTCAACTTGGGGAACTGAGCAAAAAAAAAAAAAAGGATGAGATACTGGGGTGATGGAGAGGCAAAGAAATAAGGGGGGGTGGGGGATTAAAACCAGACACTACATGAACAGGGCCGGCTCCAGCTTTTTTGCCGCCCCAAGCGGCAAAGCGGAAAAAAAAAAAAGATAAAGCCAATCGGCGGCACTTCATTCTTCTGCGGCAATTTGGCGGCAGGTCCTTCGCTCCCTCTCTTCCTATTCGGCGGTACTTCGGTGGCACCTCAAAGAGGAAGAGAGGGACTGTGGGACCCGCCGCCGAATTGCCGCTGAATTCCCGGACCCGCCGCCCCTTTCCATTGGCCACCCCAAGCACTTGCTTCCTTCACTGGTGCCTGGAGCTGGCCCTGTACATGAATTCTCCTATTTTGCAGAAAAGAAGAGTGATGGGAAACAAATTAATATCTCAGCCTAGTGTTTCTTTTCTTTGTAAAATTTAACCCAGGTGACAGGTGTTGGACTGAAAGCCCCGGAGGTTGTGCTCTCAGTTTAGCCATAGAGCAGCACAGGCAATGCAGAGCTGCTCAGAGCTGCTCACATACGCTGACCCAATCCCCTGGCTCCCCCGTCCTCTTCCCCACCAACGTGCCTCTGTCCTACCCTGGAGGTGTCCTTCCCAAGGCTGAGAGGACAGTTCACTCGGTCCCTCAGTTCTCTGCTGACACTGCCAAGGGAGCTACTGAGGGGCAGTTGTTTTGGTAGGTGGTGCATGAGATGTGGATGAGTCAGTTTTATCTGAAACTTGCCCTCAGGCCCATCTTTGGTGAACAGGTGCTCTCCCTTGCCTTCGCAATGTCCTCCAACTCAGTGATGTGTGAGCGAGCAGGAGGTCCCTTACCGTTTCAGTATTTCAGTGAACAGCAAAAGTCCCTGCTTGTGCAGCTCCACATTATTCAGTTGCAGGATCCCTTTCAGGCTCCTCACCACGGACTCGATGCCTGCAGAGGGGCATGCATTCACAAGATGTCATCAGGGAGATTTTAACACACACACCAAAAACCCAAGAAGAGTTATGATGGGAGTGGGAGATGAATTTTCAAAGGGTGACGGGGGTTGGAGGATCTGCTGACATTGGCAGGGCATAGGCAGTGGCAGCAAAAACTTCCCCATATACTCTGCTCCCTGCCAACATGCCTCAGCTTCCACTTGTAAAGGCACATCTACATTTGAGCTGGAAGGTACGATTCCCAGCTCACGCAGACGTACCTGCATTAGCTCTGCTTGAGCTAGCACCTAAAAACAGCAGTGTGGCTGTGGTGGCCCAGACGGCTGCTTGGGGTATCTACCCCAAGTACAATCCCACCCACTCCTCTGGGTACACACTCAGGTGGCTATCCCAAGCCACCGCCTATGCCAGCGCAGACACACTGCTGTTTTTAGGTACTGACTTGAACAGAGCTAGGGTGGGTACGTCTACACAAGCCAGGAATCATGTTCCCAGTTCAAATATAGACACACCCTAATGGTGAATTCAGCTTCTGTCTTCCTATGTCCTTGGCCTCTTTGTAGAGACTGCCAGCAAGAAGCCAGTTAATGTCAACAGTGCTGGTGGCTTCTGTAATGTGGACACTTGCCCACCAGGAACTGGACTCAGGCACCATAAACCCATGTCATGGAAGTCTCCAGACAAACATCATATGGGAATAATTTTCAGTTACTACCAATCTGGGACCAGTGACCTTGCAGTAAAAGGCTCTGAAATCCCAGCTACATCCTCAGTGTCCACGTGATATTACTCAAGCAATTTTGACAGGCTAGGAAGGAGTGGGACCTACCATAGACTGTGTGACACTTGGCAAAGAAAAGCCGCTCCTCAGTTAGGAGCAGCAGGCAGCAATAAACCGACCAGAGGAGAATTTCACTGGTGCAGAAGAGACACTCAAACAGGAATTCTGCAAACAAACAAATAAAACCATCCTAGTAAAACAGCATCTCCACCATGCATGGCACAACTGCCCCTAGGGGGCCAGGGAGAACAACAGAGGCTTTAACTGGGAGCAATGTCTTCTTGTTTCCACCCTACTGTCATACTAATTTAACAGTAACACTCAATAATAGTCCCTAGGGAAGAGGAGACAACCACCCACTACCTCTGGATGGTGTCCAGCAGCACTGACGAGTCCTGAAGGAAAAAGGGATTCCAGCTTTGCTCAGCCAAAGCGAGGATTACTGTGGAATAGGTCTCTTAAAGAAGACAGGGAGAACGCAGAGGAAAATGATGGATACATCATCCTCAAAATAAAGTGACTAGAGAGCAGGAGGGTCCTGAAGGCAAGTGGGCTGCTATCCTTCCAGTACATAGCTAGCAAGCAGCTGAAATATGGCTATAGATTTTGACATGATTTAAGGGATATAAAGCCAGCTTTGTCACAGCATGCTGTGACCCCGCCTCTCAAACTCTTACACATCCAAAGTAGGGGATGCACAAAACCAAAGTGATTAATTCCTCTGCGGAGGGGAAATGAAAATTTAACATCTTCCTGGGTTGGCATCCTGGGCCAAAGTCTGAGCTGAATTACATCCTATGCAACCCCACTGAAGTCAGGGGATGATATAGGGTTAATTCAGGCTAGAAGTTGGCTTGTTTGGGTTCTGCAGTTAAGCATGCCATGAGAATGCATAATCTAAGCAGGGTTAGGCCAGGTTAATTCTTGGATGGGAGACTTCAAAGGAAAATTCAAATGCTGCAGGAAGTAATTAGTAATTTGGTAAAGGATGGTCTATGCTCTGAATCGCTACTGGACCAATGCCTCCTAGCAGTGCTATGCATTTGGAAGTGCTGTCTTTACACCAATTACGGATAATAAGTATCCTCATTGGCACTTTTTGCAAGAGGAGTCTTAAACTTGATGACCTGCCCAAATTCCAACTTAGGACATTACATTCTGTCTACAGAAAACTCCCCCTACAATTTCAACTAGGAGCTTATTTTTCACTTCTCTTCCTATAATACTGTTGGTGGGTTTTGTTGATGCAGAATGGCTGTTGTGACAACCCCAGAGGTGAATGCATTACATGGATTGAGGCCGATTACCTATGTGCATAAACTGTACAGTGTTAAGGTACCCCCAGAGGGAAAGACACTGTAGAACTACAAGGTATTATTGTATTTCTTCACCTGGGATGTCTGCATGAATGAAGGCAGGAGCATATTTGATAGGAGAATGCACAAGCACAGCAGTCATACATTGAACACTTGCCACCTGTAGCATCTCATCTCTGGACAGCAACAGCTGTGTGGAAACAAAAATGAAAAAAAAAAATCAAAACCACAGACTTGATTAGGAAAGAATTCCTTAGAGGGAGCTTGAAAAAGACCAATTTAAAACAGGCAAAAAGAAATCTCTTTAAGCAACATATAATTCCCTAGTGTAACTTGCTATGGCAAGATAAATACCAAGGCAAGTAACTTAGCAAGATTAAGAAAAACATTAAAGACGCCTATGACTAAGAATAGCTTTGTAATCACACTAGCCAGGCTAATGCTTACAAGAGCTATGTCGATCCTCATGCTTCAGAGTATACGCTAAACAGAGCTGGGATCAGGAAGAAATTCCACTCACTACTGGTGCACTATTGAACAACTGGTGCATTATGGGGGATTTCCACCTTGCTAGGCTGCATCTGACATTGATCAGTATGGGGGACATAATATGAGGCTACTTGAACCAGTGCAGCAAATAACTGTTCCTATTTATAACTCACCTCACAGTAAGGGATAATTTGACTGGCCACTTGTACAAGGCATGTTGAGAGATGTGGTAACCCCTTCAGCAATTACCTTTTTGAGCACTAGCGGCAGTGGGTTCTCTCCCTCCATCAACTCAGTATTCTCAGAATCTGCCCCTCTTCTTGAATTGCTCATAATAACTGATACAAAATGGTCAGAATTCAGCAGCTCCTTTAGCAAACCTGCAAAGGGAGAGAAAGAACAAGCAGCAAACTGGGAGTGGGGAGGATTGGGAGCTTCACAACATCCTGTCCTGAAACATGTCACTGACTCCTTACCCACTGCTGTATTCTTGACAAAACCTTTCTGCTTACATTCAGGGCCTTCTCTGGCCATACCCTCATGTATCTCCACCGTCCATCAATGCTTTACACCCCCCCACACCCCAATTCTCCTCTTTGCCATTTCTGATTCTCTCCATTCCCCGTTCCCTCTTCTATCGCTGGATCCTTTAATTGCCATTGCACCAGCTTTCTGGCACAACCTGATCCACTCCTTCTGCCTTTCTGATTCCTCTTCTCCAAACCCTTTTTAAAGCGCAGCTCAAAACCAGCCACTTCTCTGCTGCTTGCAGCCAGGGACTCAACCACCAGTTTCTCCCCCAGGTACTTACTAGTGCCAACCATTCACACCTCTTGCTATCCATTCTCCCAACCTGCTCTCACACCTACCCATTTAATAATCCCATTTCTGTAACTGCTACAAGTTTAAAGATCCTACCACAAGCAGCACATTATAAACATACAGTGCACATTGTTACATGCACTGATGCAAATCATAAACAAGAGATTTTGTAGGCGACACTCTAATGTAAGTTCAGAAGTGATGTAGTAGGGCTGTTGGAGTGAACTTTTGAAAAGAGCCATCTGTTACAAATGGCTGACTGCTGGATGTGAAAAGCAAGCAGACTACTGTTCCCCTTCTATAATAAAGAGAGAGATCGCTGTGTGGTGTGCAATTGAGCTGTGTGAATGAAGCCGAAACCATCCTGTGTACTGCATGACATCACTGCTCTATGCAAAACGATGGTCCTGACTGCATCACCCAGAAGCTTAGAGAAAGCATAGGCGCCGACTCCGTGGGTGCTCCAGGGCTGGAGCACCCACAGGGGAAAAAATGGTGGTGCTGAGCACCCACTGGCAGCCCCACCTCCCTCCCCCAGTGCCTCCCACCCACCGGTGGGCCCCGCCGATCAGCTCCTCCCCCTCCAACCCTGTGCCTCCTGTCCGCCGCGATCAGCTGTTTCGCAGCATGCAGGAGGCTCTCGGTGGGAAGGAGGAGGAGTGAGGATGTGGCACGCTTGGGGGAGGGGGCGGAAAGAGACAGGGCAGGGTGTGGGGTAAGAGTGGGCATATTGGAAAGTCGGCGCCTGTGAGAGAAAGCCAATCTCCATTTTTATTTTTCAGCCTGAACTACAAGACACTTCATATCTCCAAGTTGCATTTCTCAGAATCAATCCAGCTACTTTACAAATCCAATCTATCTGATTGTATGTAGAGGTTGGAATCAGTCACTTTAACCTTAGGGGATTACTTGATTTCCAGGAAGATGACACAGTCAAATTGGGACAGGTCAAGCTATGGTGCAAGCTGGAGGCCTTCAGAGACAGTTTCAGCAGGTACCACTGGGGTTCCAGCAACAGGATGTGTTGCTTCCCTGGTTATACTAGGAGGGTTTGGCAATGGGGCTAGGATGAACAATTGTTGTGCAGTAACAGAAGGGATCAGCAGCTGTGGACAAGTACGCTCACTACCTACGAAATAGTCCAACCAGCTGAGAGTTTGCAAGTTCAGAGTTCTGAGGAACAATCCAGAGTCCAGCACACATTAGAACTCCCAAACTATCAAAGACAACCCCCCTCCTTTTGTTTCTCTGAGGTGTCTTACCCATGCAGTTAACCTGCAGTTCCTTTGTCTGTGCATTCCCTAGGGTAGCCAGGAAGAGGTCACACAGCCTCTCTGTGAAGTGCACTGAGAGCCTTTCTGAACTAATGGGGGAAGAGTACAGCTTGCCGTAAAGATAGCAGACAGCAGCCTTTACACCCTCGTTGGGGTACATCAAGCCTGCCAGCAGGTGTTCCATTAAGTTACCTAGAGTGGTGAACAACAATGACCGCTGTTGAGAGAAAACACTGGTAACACACATTTCTAAGTCATCTGGCAGAGGCACATTCCCTGCAAAAGCCTCCACAAACACTTTACAGACCTGTCCATGCAGGCTAGGAAAAGAGATTGAGGTTAGGTTGAGATTAGCTAATGCATGTTAATTGACCTTTCCCTCTTTCCCTAATCAAGCCTTATGTAAGCAGAGTCAGGATGAGCTCTACCCTGACATCTGGTGGTGAATTGTGGCGAGTTGTGGAAAAGAACTCCAGGGGCTGATCTTGTTTGCATACGCACACCCGCCTAGCATGAGCACACAGCAGCTCAAATGGTCACTTTGGCTGCTGTGGGATCCCCAGTTTCTCTGTTATTGGGGAAGGAAGAATAAAGTGTTGTTACCCTGATTATGTGAATCAAGGCCAGTGGAACTGTTTTATGACAGAGGGACTTGCCATCAACTAAGTAACACTTGCTAGACAAGGGACATGGGTTCCAAAACCTAGTGAATTGAGAGTAGCTGGGGTCAGGTATTTGTACCTGATGGTGTGCGCCCAAAAATACCAACTGTACCTCATCCTTTCTCTACTGTGGACTATCAGAGCTAATTTTAATTCTATTAGGAGTCTAGTTACAGGCTGCTGAGCTGAATTCACTTTGGGCCAATGGTGCATCAGTACTGAGGCTCCCCTACTACAAGCTGAAATCACTAAAGAGCTGAAATCACTGAGTGCTGTGGGGGGACCTGAAAATATGTTGCTGGGCAGCTGGTGGAGCAGAGCAGTTTGCAGGATGACTGGAGCAGCTTGCAGGACAGCTGGTGGAGCGGAGCAACTGGCAGAGCGGAGTAGTTCGTGGAACGGCTGGAGTGGCTCACGGGACGGCTGGTGGAGTGGCTCGCGGTGAAGGCTGCAGCAGAACCCCATGGAGAGGTGGAGCAGTTGGCCTCCGACCATGTAAGGTGCCCCTTAACACCACTGCGCACCACCCCCCCCAGGCTGGGAGGTAAAACTCTGCAGATAAACTTTTTAACTCTGGGGCTGCACTGACCAGGGACAGAGACTTTGGGTTGTTGGACTTTGGGTGATTTTTTGGGGGTTGCTGGACTTAAGACCCTGAGGGGAAAAGGATACTGCCAAACTTACTTGGGGGTGGGCCTTTTGCTCATGGCTTGTGTTATGAATCCTGGTTGTGGTGTTTCCCCAACGTCATGCTGCATTGTTTCCCTCCTTTATTAAAAGGATTTTGCTACATTCAGACTCCGTGCTTGCGAGAGGGGAAGTATTGCCTCTTAGAGGCGCCCGGGAGGTGGTATGTAATTGTCCCAGGTCACTGGATGGGGGCTCGAGCCGGTTTTGCATTGTGTTATTGAAACGGAACCCCTAGATACTGAACCCGGCCCTTGTTGCTGCCAACTCAGACGGGCAGAAGGGTTACATTTTTATTTAGAGATGTGGGCCACCTGCTGTGATTCTCTGAGGAGTGAGTGATGCTGTAACAATTGTTCAGAGGGGCTCACAGTTAAACTACATAACAATACACGCGCCCACCCACCCCTCTACTCAGGGGCTGAGCATGCTCGCACCAACACTCCTACCTTGGGGAAGGGAGACCTGGGGAAGTACAACCAAATGCATGTCTCCCAAGAGGCAAACGGAGCTCCAAATTCCAGTCCACTAAGGCTGGTCTTCAACAGGCCGAACTGGCCAGGAGAGGTAGAGCAGCCTTGTGGCTAAGCACTGGACAGGGACTCAAGAGATCTGGGTCCAATGCCTAGTTCTGCCACAGATTCGCTTTGTGACCTTGGGAAAGTGATTTAGTGTCTGTATCAGAGTGGTAGCCGTGTTAGTCTGTATCCACAAAAACAACGAGGAGTCCGGTGGTACCTTAAAGACTAACAGATTTATTTGGAAAGATAAGCTTTCGTGGGTTAAAAAATCCCACTTCTTCAGATGCATGGAGTGAAAATTACAGATACAGGCATATATATACTTGCACATGAAGAGAAGGGAGTTGCCTTACAAGTGAAGAACCAGTGTTGACAAGGCCAATTCAGACAGAGTGGATGTGGTCCACTCCCAATAATTGATGAAGAGGTGTCAATACCAAGAGAGGGGAAATTGCTTTTGTAGTGAGCTAGCCACTCCCAGTCCCTATTCAAGCCCAAATTAATGGTGTTAAATTTGCAAATGAATTGTAGCTCTGCAGTTTCTCTTTGAAGTCTGTTTTTGAAGGTTTTTTTGTTGAAGGATGGCTACTTTTAAATCTGCTATTGAATGTCCAGGGAGATTGAAGTGTTCTCCTACTGGCTTTTGAATGTTATGATTCCTGATGTCTGATTTGTGTCCATTTATTCTTTTACATAGAGACTGTCCAGTTTGGCCAATGTACATGGCAGAGGGGCATTGCTGGCATATGATGGCATATATCACATTAGTAGATGTGCAGGTGAATGAGCCCCTGATGGTGTGGCTGATGTGGTTGGGTCCTCTGATGGTGTCACTAGAGAAGATATGGGGACAGAGTAGGCAACGGGATTTGTTATAGGGATTAGTTCTTGGGTTAGTGTTTCTGTGGCGTGGTGTGTAGCTGCTGGTATTTGCTTCAGGTTGGGGGGCTGTCTGTAAGTGCGGACTGGCCTGCCTCCCAAGGTCTGTGAGAGTGAGGGATCGTTTTCCAGGATAGGTTGTAGATCGTTGATGATGTGCTGGAGAGGTTCTAGCTAGGGGCTGTACGTGATGGCCAGTGGTGTTCTGTTATTTTCCTTGTTGAGCCTGTCCTGTAGTAGGTGACTTCTGGGTACCCATCTCGTTCTGCCAATCTGTTTCCTCGCTTCCCCAGGAGGGTATTGTAGTTTTAAGAATGCTTGATAAAGATCTTGTAGGTGTTTGTCTCTGTCTGAGAGATTGGAGCAAATGCGGTTGTATCTTAGGGCTTGGCTGTAGACAATGGATCGTGTGATGTGTCCTGGATGGAAGCTGGAGGCATGTAGGTAAGTATAGCGGTCAGGTTTCCAATATAGGGTGGTGTTTATGTGACCATCACTTATTTGCACTGTAGTGTCTAGGAAGTGGATCTCTTGTGTGGACTGGTCCAGGCTGAGGTTGATGGTGGGGTGGAAATTGTTGAAATCCAGGTGGAATTCTTCAAGGGCCTCCTTCCTGTGAGTCCATATGATGAAGATGTCATCAATGTAGCACAAGTAGAGGAGGGGTGCTAGGGGACGAGAGCTGAGGAAGCGTCGCTCTAAGTCAGTCATAAAAATGTTGGCATACTGTGGGGCCATGCGGGTACCCATAGCAGTGTCGCTGACTTGAAGGTATAAGTTGTCCCCAAATCTGAAATGGTTGTGGGTGAGAACAAAGTCACAAAGCTCAGCCACCAGGTGTGCCATGGCCTCTTCAGGGATACTGTTCCTGACAGCTTGTAGTCCATCCTCATGTGGAATATTGGTGTAAAGAGCTTCTACATCCATGGTGGCCAGGATGGTGTTTTCAGGAAGATCACTGGGAGTGGCTGGCTCACTACAAAAACAATTTCCCCTCTCTTGGTATTGACACCTCCTCATCAATTATTGGGAGTGGACCACATCCACCCTGACTGAATTGGCCTTGTCAACACTGGTTCTTCACTTGTAAGGCAACTCCCTTCTCTTCATGTGTCTGTATATATATGCCTGTATCTGTAACTTTCACTCCATGCATCTGAAGAAGTGGGTTTTTACCCACAAAAGCACATGCCCAAATAAATCTGTTAGTCTTTAAGGTGCGACCGGACTCCTCGTTGTTTTAGTGTCTGTCTCACTCTCTCTCTTTTAGGGCCTCTAGATGCTACCATGATATAATGAAGCATGACTCACCGTGTTCAATCACCAATATATCAGCTAAGCCCGGGATGGCATCTGCCAGTTTGCCCAGGAGATTAAACATAGGCAGGCTCCCTCTCATGGTGGCTGCCTTAGATAGCTGGGGAGGGAAGAAAACAAACCACCAATAAGGATGTGTCCCAAAATGGGAAACACCTACAAAATGGTGAACTCCCCTCATGGTGCAATGAATCCCTCAAAATGGGACCTTCTAAGCCAGTGGAACCCCCTTAACTGTTCATATTTGTTTGTCCAGACAATTGTCCCTAAACACATCCACCAAATCTCCCGGCAGTAATCTCCTCCTGGTTTCTGCCCTGCTGCTGCACCCCCAAAGCTGATGTGTAGGTGGATGGGGGAGCTGGCTAACCCTCTCCCCATCTCTGCTTTCTCCCAAGCTTCTGTGCTCTGGGGAAGTTTGACATTTTGTGATGAACCTGGCAATGAAGAGAGCACAAGTGAAGGGAGCAGGCCTGCCAAGCAGCTCCAGGTCTGAAAAGCTGCCCATATTATTGCTGCAGTAATGGAGGGAAAAGAGAAATCACAGAGGATGCCATGTTGCCATGGTGGAGGGGATATGATGGTAAAAATTCCAGGGCAGATGTCAACCTTGCCAAAGTCACGAAGGCAGTGGCAGCATTTAGGACATTCCACAAGAGCCCATTCACAATATTGTGTAACTTTCCATATTTTCAAACTTGGGGGACCAAAGGGAGCAAGGAAATAATCTTTACTGACCTCTTTCTGGCTTTCATCCAACACACAGTGTACATACTGCTCCAACTTCAGCTCCGCCACAAGTCCCACCAGAACTGAGCAGAAGAAACAGGATCAGTAACAATAACACACACCAGAGTTTACTCAGAACACATCTTCCACAGAGCTTTACTGAGCAGGTGGAGTATTTGTTTAACGCATATGTGGGTGCTTATAAAGCAGGATATTCCCTTTGCTGTTATTTGATATCCCTCCTGACCCAGCTTGATCTTTCTGCAGTGAAGTCATAATAAACCCTGCATTAGTGACTGCCATCTGTTTACAAGGATATTAACTTCCAGTCACCAATTCAGTGTCAGGCTATCAAGTAAGGAAGAGATATCAGGCTGGAAAAGAATTAGTCCCTTGTTCAAAGCACAAATACACTCAATAAGTAGTGCATAGGGCAAGTTTCCCACACTTCCTTTCTGAGATTAGATCAGAACACAGTTGATGACCAGATATAATTTGAGGGGCCCTCATCTAGTACTAGGCTCTTCAATAGTACCTGAGGGCCTGTTACAGCCCAAGCTGTAATAGCCCAGTGGACAGGGGGCTGACTTAACTCAGGAGACCTGTGCTTGAGTCCCAGCTCTGCTGCTGGGTGAGTGCTACCAAACCACTTTTTCTCCCTCAGTTTCCCCAAATGTAGGATGATGAAACTGACCTCTTTTGTAAAGTGCTTTGAGAGCTATTTACACCTGTTGTGATTATTCTGCGTATCAAGTCCTATTTCTACTGCTTGATGTTCCAATTGTACCTTGCCACCTCCTCAGCACCAATTAAGACCTATTATTTTTTGCTCACAGTAACTGCAAGAAAACCTTATTCCATCTGCCCTAGTGACAAGGAGGAGGTGGAATAATGGAAATCAACAAGAAACTAGGTTCACTAGATGCCATTTGCACATCATTTTAGGCTTTACTAACAAAACAACCAGTGAATTGCATGAAGCAAGACAACTGCTTTCCCAGTAAAAAAACATCTGCATAACCTCTTGTGCCTGTTGGTCACCTCTTGCCTGATATGAAGAACCAAAACAATTTCTGACATGTTTAGATCACAGGCTTTTCATGGGTATAAGGAACAATCAGACTGACTTAAGAGGTAAAAGTTTTCCAGCAGACAACCAAACAGACAAGAAAGCTATTATGAGGGTAATACAAAGGATGGAGTCAGGGTATATTGTTTGATATTATATGAAAGGTTGTTGTGGGTTTATCTTGCTCCCATTGTGTAGTTTGTTTAGGGCATATGCTTTTATGGAACATACCTTTTCTGTTTATATTGTTAGGGTATTCAGTGACACATTAACAGTGAAGGGTGGTTAATCCTTTGAATAAGTTACCAAGGAACATGGTGGATTCTCCATCTCTTCATGATTTCAGATCAAGACTCTGGGCCTTTCTGGAAGATGTGCTTTAGCCAAACACAAATTACAGGCTCAATGCAGAGGTAACAGGGTAAAATGTTAAGGCCTTCATTATGCAGGAGCTCAGAATAGATGATCTAACAGTCCCTTCTGGCCTTAAAATCTATGAAAACCTTCAGGTATGAGGCACCAATAAGTTAAACTGTTTTACGGTTTGGGAGTCTGCACATCTCAGAGGATTAGTAATATGACAAAGACACGTTACCTCTATGTCACCATGTCAAATCCAGCCCACGTTCCTACTGACTGAAAATTGATACCCTCTCTGAAGAGAGCTGGTTATTTTTCAGTTCAGCTCTTAACATTTTTGTGAGAAAGACACCAGTGGCAGCAGAAATGCCAAAGATTAAATGAGCTGTGGGTGTGCTTCCCCCAAAAACAATTCTTAGGAGACTATTCCCCTCTCACTGTGCATGCAAAGCACCCCGGCAAGGAGAGGGAACAGTTGCTCTCTTCAATTTGTGAAGTTGCTGAGACTCTCACTATCAGCATCCAGCCAGATACAGTAGATTCCTCTTCCCAACCTGCCAGTGAGACTCAGAACCTCCCTCTCACCTTCAGTGGACAGATCCAGTGCACTGCTGTCTTCTGCTATATGCAACATCCCTGAAAGATCAACTCACATATAAATCACAATTAAGTAATATGTCCCCCATTTGAGATCATCAGTGTTGGGGCTTGATTTTGAAAGGAATCTGGGGACCTTTCAGGACTCTTGCATTTTCCTCATTTATTAGCCCTGCTTCATGTGAGATCAACCTGTCTTTCTGGTCAAGAATGAGAGGACATTGCTCTTTGGGAGCAGGATACAAGGTGCTCCCTGTATCCAATTCACAAGAGGCTGAAGCATACAGCCTAACTTGTAATCTTTTAACTTGCTTGCTGTGTTTTTATTTTTAGGGGGTATAGTGAGATAGATAGATAGATAGATAGATAGATTTTTTTTTTTTTTGCTAAAATAATTGTTTCCACCCACCTAAGTACATACACAACCCCCATCACCAGCGCATCTGAGTGTCTGTGACTGGTATTATTAAATCCACCTCACAAAAGTCTGTTTCTAGAATACTCACAGCACACTACCCAGAATCCCAGAAGTTACAGACTGTCTGTCAGATCAGTCTCTTATGTTCTACCCACTCCTGCCATGAACAGTTTTGCTCCTGTTCCCTTACAGCAGTGAACACTGCCAAACAGATTATTTAGCCTAAAATTAAACACTACCAGTATTAGAAATTCACATTCCTGTTGAGATTATTCCAGAGGTAAACTGAATCTATTGTTACAAAACTGTTTATCATAATCTTTTATTTTCACAACCAGAACATAAGATTTGGCCATCATCCCACCTTCTGCTGCACCAGATCAGACTACTAATCTTCCCACCTCCTTCCACATTAGATCAGAGCATTGGTCCACCACAATCCCTTCTTCTGCCAAACCGGGCCTGTTCCACCAATCAGGGCCGGCTCCAGGCACCAGGCAACCAAGCACATGCTTGGGGCGGCACCTGGTAAGGGGCGGCCAATCTTGGGGTGGCGG